TAATTAAGCGTGGAATACAATTTTAAGCGTATACGTTCGTTACATAACAGCGTTAACAGTTGGATGCTAAACGACAAATACCTAATTTGAGTAACGACTTCAGGGTACTGAAAAGTTTACATATTATTGTTTGAGGACAAAATTTTTGAATTTTTTTGCTTTGACTCGTTTCTTCGGTTACATCTTCCATTTGTTCTGCAGTTGTATCAAAGAATTTCGATAACTTATTCCCAGAAATAATAACATTACTGTAATAAACAAAATCTTATTTGTATAATACCCTTGTGACTGTGTGTTTCAAAGACGATTGAATCTATCTCTACAGTGTTTGGTAAAGAGAATAGTGTAATTTGCCGATAATTTTTTTATATATCTGCAGCTCAGTTGGTTGAGTACCCGTCTAGAAAGGGATAAGTCACTGGAGCCAACCTTACTCAGAAAATTTTTTAATTTTTCTGCTTTGACTCGTTCTTTTGGTTATGTCGTCTATATATTCGTTTTGCAGTTACATGAAAGAATTTCATATAGACTGTTGTTGGTAACGGAAATGCACGATGTTTTCAAATTAATTTCCCACGTATATGTGATGAAAGTTTCAATTGAAAACTTGTTTGGAGAAAGGCAGATTTTATTTATTTTAATTTTCAAAGGTTAAACATTATCCCTATATACCAGGAATTCCACACAGAATAGTGTTCCAGTTACAACATAGGGTGTTGTTCGGAGTTTTATACCCATTTAAAGGGAACGAATAAATTATTATCAATTAAGTATTCAGTATTATATTGTGTTGGAAAAAGAATTATTTACCCATTATTAAAATTCGAAAAAAACTCACCACATTCTCACATATCTCACTTGCATAGAATGAAAATTTCCGTAATATTTTTTCAGTACAGCAATTTTATAATATTGTCTACGTAATTCCATAACGTTAGTCTTTTTCAAATCTATTTCATACATAATATTTTTATTGAAGCATTCTGCGACAAGACACGAATGATAATTGGCACTTTTTAGTTGGAAATGAAAATGTGCCATGCAAAATTTTCAATGCAAATAATGCGCGTCAATTATTAAGAAAATGGAAATGAATTTTTCATTTTATAAAAAAAAAAAAAAACAAGAAAAAAATTTTATATGTTTTTAAATTCTTGTTTTTTTTTCAGTTGCTACTGTTGAGTCTTATACAAAATCGAAATTAAAGTGTTGAAAATGTCATCAATTTCATATTTTAATTTGAATATTATTGTAGATTAGCTATTTTATATTTATACACGTTCATTTTATTAGAATTGTGTATATATGAGTGGTGACATTAATGGATATAAACGGCGTATAATCAAAAACATATAAAAACCTATTAAAAATTTTTTTATTTTGAAATTATTTGCAGGAGAGAGACGGATGAGGGAGTTTCGATATGATGATGAATAATTTAAAATTATAATACTGGCATACAAGTAAGTGTTGTATAGATTTTTTTATATACTGCTTGCATACACGTATATGCACAGAAAGTAAACAAAATATTATTGTCTAACAGTATAAATGATAGTCTAGCAATTTATAGGTTATTTCCGAGCAGAAAATTCAAACTAGAAATTCAATTGCGGGAGTTTTAATAATTTTTTCTTGCCATTTTAAATAAATTTTATATTTAAGTCATTTTTGCAAAATGCTTGCAAAATGTAATTTTTAAAATGATTATGGAAAATATTTGTTATATATGAATAAGTGACTAAAAATGTATAACACATATAACATTTGAGTTATATACTCGTATAGATACAGACCAAAAAATATTGTTCAAAAAATCTGAATTTAAAAATTTTGAAGAGAGAAAAAAAATAAACATTAAAAGATGACAGCCGCCTTTTTAATATTGCATGTAATGTAGACACTATTAATACGAATATATGAGTGTGCAATTTGTATATGGAATGGGATTTTGCCAAAATTCGGTACTTTTGATCACTACAGAATATTATACAAAATAATAATATGGAAAAAAAAAAGTTGAAATAAAAAATTTGTAATTTTTTGTTGATTGCTTTGTGTGCAACGAACCAGATGAGAAACTTTGATTTTTTTTTTTTTGATATGAAGATGTTTTGATATGTAATGACGTTGGCAAGACGTTTAAATAACAGATGTGCAAATAAATGGATTTTAATATAATGGAAAATTTAATTAATAAACACCTGAAATATCTTTGATGATCTTTTTTTTTTTTTAAATGTTTTATATAGGAATAGCGTGTGTTGTATGATTAATTTTGGAAAAAAAAAATTTTGATTTGAAAGCCAATGTTATTGTCCTTTGATAAAAATATAGTGGTAAATCTTTAATATCACACTCTATACTCTTTAGTAATATAACAGTTAACACTCGTTCTTTGGGTATATTATAAAAGTTTATTCATATGTTAAAAATATAAGGAAAAAGTTTAGATATTATTTAAGATTATATGAGAACAAATAACAATTAAGAACAACAATACACTACTGAAAATGTATTATGAGACAGAGATTATAGCAGAAACGTTGCAGTTAGGATTACAAAGACTGGTAGACGCCACAATATTTGGGATCTTAATAAACCATGCTTGTTTATAATAATGTTTAAAGTTAATGTTAGACCAGATAGGTGTCTTCGCCTATGTGAACAAGATTGGGGAAATTGATAAATTTTTAGTATAACAGCTATTGCGAAATCTGACGAAAACACTGGCTTCCATAATTTCTTCGAGAAAAAAGTAGGAGTGCCAAAGAATAATCACAACACCAGAAAACATAGTAAAAATAATGTTTGAGGAGATAAATTGAATATAATGCAGCTTAGAAGAATTATAGGAGAGTATTCCAGGGATTAACGAGAAATGATTCCGCGTCCGATCTACAGCAATGAACTCAGCAATCTTAGGATTTAACACGATATAGGATGCATGGAAGTTTAGCGAACAGGCGGCTTAAACAACAAGACAAAATTTTCTAATATTGATTCATTTAAGTATCTGAATTCTGCAAAAGTGTTGTGCTACCTACCCTAAGTCATGAAAACCAGAAGTAAAATGACATAGTTTCAAATTTTAATTTTTGTTAAATGGAATCTAAAATTTTGGCTTATTTTACTTAAAATACCTTTTTTTTAGTGAATTTTTCCTTTAAAACACATAATAAACAACTATAAATTTCAATCCTAAAAGTATGCAAAATTCAATTATTGTTATTTAAACTTACCATTTTGATTGTAAATTATTTGTTACTAGTTAAGATATCTCAAACCAGGAGTCGTTTTGATCTTGCAGACTCCATACGTTATATATACCTGTCGTTATACCTTACCAATCTGTATTTAGTTCAGTTTATAATTTGTTGTAAGACATGTTTAATTTGTAAGGCAAATAAACCATTGCTATTTTTAAAATATTTAACCATATCTCTTAAATAATTTTTATAAATCGCATTGCATACAAACATGGAGACTTTGTGATGCCACCAAATTGTGGATTTTGAGTTTGTGATGGAAATGCGCTTCTTCGATGTAGGGTAGTGTGAGTAAAGCAGTTTTAAAGAGACGTTGGCGTGTGAATCTGTCTCTCTGACGGTACGTCTGTATGTCTTTCTGTATGTGTACGCGTGTATCTTAAATTCGATTGAACCAATTTCGATGAAATTTTATATTGTGATTTTACTTCGACTATGGGACGAATTGATCAAGTTTTGGGATATATCAAACCCCGGAAACTGTACCTATTTGCGAACGATTTTACATTTTTACGCATATAAAGGAAAATCATCAACTAATTTTGAACTGGGGGCTGATTCTACGTCTTTTACCGCACATATATTGAATGTTGTCCGGAACGTATTGATGGAATTTCGTGAAATTTAATATTTGAGTTCTGGCTGTTGCCGAGACTAACTGTTGAACTTTTCAGGAAATTTTCATAATTAACTGCAATACTTGTTCTAAACTGCGGTTGATCCTGATCACATCAGATATTTTTATTAATTCAATAATTTTAAGGTATATTACAGGAAAAAAAAACTGGCTGAAGTTGTAAAATAAAATATTTTCTTTAATTTTCTTTTATTATTTTTATTTTTACTTATTTATTCAATTTATAATTAAATTTTTTTTTTATATCAATAATATTACGTTAAGTCTTTTTACATAGCTTTAGCTAAATATTTATAATATAATATTTAAATTAATTAATTTATTTATTTTATTTTAATTTTTATTCAATATTTTTTTTTTCATATTTTTTGATATTTTTCCTTCATTATTTTTTAAATTAATTTTTTTTTTTTTTATAATGAAATTTTCAAATATTTATAATTATTATATAATATATATGTATGTATATATAATATATAGTATAATTATATAAATAAGAAGCATTATATAAATGTATTTTGTTTTTTTAATTAATTTTGAAACACACATACATGCGCTATTTTTAAAAATTTTTAAAAGTGTGAAGTAGTGTAATTTTTTTTCTTCTTATATTTTCTTGTTGTTCTGTGGTATGTGTGTTGTTTTTTTTTTTATAATTATGTATATATGTATATATTTATAAAATAATAAGTACAATGTATAGATTGAAATGCGTTCTCAAGAAATCGATATGTGTAAATTTTTATCATTATTTAAATTATTTATATAATATTATTTATTGGTATACTTGTATGTGTGAATATATCAATTTAATTTTTTTTCCCATTTCGTCCTCATTTTGTGATTTTATTTCCAAAATCTTTTGATAATAAATTGAAGAAAATTTCCTTAAATATTTTGATTTATATAGGGTACAGCTATATATATGTATATATGTGTGTGTGTTCTATATAATGATAATTTTTTATAAATATTATTTATAATATACAAAAAAAAATATAAAAACTTAACAACAGAACAGAATTAAACAAAAAACAAAATTTAGAAAAGAAAAATATTAAAAAAAATTTTTTTTTTTTTTTATATTATTTTATATAATTTATACATGCGTACATACATAAATAGAATATATAAATATTTTAAATTAATAAAATTTCTGATCCTTATTTTTTTTTCATAAATTTTTTGCCTACGACTAAGTTTTAATTTCATCGGAACATTTATTGAGACTTGATTGTAAATTATTAACACCAATACTAATTGATTCATCACCAATTGATTCAAATGATTTGTCTGTTTCACATGATTGACTTCTTTCATGACGCGATAAATTCCATACATTTTTAGCAAAATCAATTGTTGTATTCATTATTTTATCAGAATTTTCACTAGAAGGACTTAAATTATTATTATTTTGTGATAAATTTTTATCGGACATTGGTGGTGATAATGCTGATGTCGGTAATTGTAAATGTTGCCCTATATTTGGTATACGTGGACCAAATGGATTAAAACCAAGAAATTTACCAGCTAAACTTGGATGAAATGGTGATGGTAAATTTGGTAAATTTGGAAATGTTGGTGATGGTTGATTTGACTATAGATAATTTAAGGAAAAAAAAATAAGACAAATAAATAAAATAAATTCTTTAATTATATATATATGATAGTGTTACAACCTTTTGTTGTAAGGCACCATTTAAAAATGGTGGTAAATATGGATAAAATATTTCGGCACGTCTCTGTAAAAATTCAGGATCATGTGCACCTAATGGCATTGATGGTGGTCTTTGAATTGATGGAAGTTCTAATGACATACGTCTTCCTCTTCTAGATGAACCATTTGTCCACATATGTGTACCCATATGAACCTAATATAAATAAATAATATACACGAATTTTTATACAAATGTAAATTTTTAATATTAATTTATTATACTTTTAAATTTCCTTTTGTTGTAAATGCTTTTTGGCATACACTACAACGAAATGGTTTATCTCCGGTATGAGTTCTCATATGTATTTGTAATGCTGAACTTGAACTAAAATTTCTACGGCATACAGTACAATAATGTTTTGTATTAACATTTTGATCTAATGGTGATCCTATAATTGGTGGTCCAATAGATTGTTGTTGCTGTTGTAATTGATTTTGAAATGAATCACTACGCATCATTGATAATGAATGCATTTGTGATAATGGTGGTGGAAATGTTGAATGTGATAAATCTGTAGTAATATCATGTGGAAGAGTTAATCTAAATTCTGATGGAATATCATTATTATGCATTATATTATTAATATCAGATGAATTAAATTTTAATTTTTTTATTTCTGTATCATTATTGAGATCATCATCATCTCTTTCGAAATTTGTAAATGCAAAATCTTTTACTTGTAATAATTTAATTGGATTATTTGTTTCATTTTGCACTGATAATATACCAGATTGATTTGTTGATTGAGATGGTGTTCTTGTCGGTGATAATTGTGGAGATGATAACGGTGAGGACGGTGTTTTATTATTTATTGGTGATAATTTTAAAATATCTTCTTTTTCTTCTTCTAATTTATTAGATGATTGATCACAGTCTGAATTTTCTGAATTGGAATCATCTATACCATCATCATTTGGTTGACATTCATTTAAAGTGTTATTCTCTTTTAAATTAATATTTTGATTTGGATTTTCGGAATCGGTAAAGGGTGGAAATTTCTGTAAAAAAAAAACAATAAGAATGTTACATGGATAACTCCTGCAAATTCTTTGACTTTAAAAATAGGTTTGAGTCTTAGATATGAGAATATTTAGTAGGGATTATTACCAATTTAGACATAATATTTGATTACGTTTTAATTTTTGCTTTTTTTGTATAACATTTTCAATTTAATTAAATGTTTTTGTTCCCAATAATTAATTGGCATTCATTTTTATAAAAATTATTTATCAAATTAATTAAAAAATGTGAAACATATTGTAAATTATTTCGAAATTTTTTACATTTTTGTTTTTTTTTACGTATATATGCAATATCTGTGATGAAACCAAAATTTAACATGAAAATTTTGAATAATAATTAAAAAATTTTTATTTTAATTAAAATTACATTATAATCTGCTTTATGATTCATATTATTTTTGAAAACAAAATCAAAAACAAAACACAACAATCAACAAAAAAAAAAGAGAACAATTGATATTAAAATGTAAAATGGAACATTTTTAAAATTTTAAAATTAATTAAATGAAATCTCATAATAAAAACAAACAACAAAGAAAAAAACGTCTATGCGCGAAAAAAACCAAAAAAAAAAAACAAAAAATATGTGTACAAACTCATCTAACACAAATATTCGATTCATTAACAAAAATGACAGCCTGTCTGTCTGTACTACAAAATGATAAATTTTTATGCATCTTTCAAAATATTTATAATATGAGTAAAAATTTCATTTTTCTATAAAAATTTTAAATTAAAATTTGATTTTATAATGGAATAATGCTATTTTCTTTTTTACATTGACAACATTATTTTTTAGGCATTACTCTTAAAATTTTTATGAAATGTGATGAAATTCAAGAAATTTTGACAGAAATGAAGCAATTTGAGATCAATGAATTTTGGATAACTGGAGGTCAATGGAAATAGTTGGGGACTACACCATCATAGCGCTGGAGATGCCACCTATAATGAGGTAAATCAGTTTTGTAGAACGGTATTTGGATCTGATAATGTGTTTACAATAGAAGCATAAAACATAATAATGGTACACAGATCGAGACACTTTCGCTACGTTTGTTACACTATTTGCAATCTACAAGTAGCGGGTGCCTTTATACCAGATTGTTTTAACTAAAAATGAGTAGCTTATTTAATATTGATATGGCATTGTCAGCATTGAAAAAACTTTTGATAAATTGATAATAATTTTGTTTTTTCAGTTGTTACAAAAACCAGACAATTATTAAAATTTGTACTTTCTCCATTGATAGTGTGCTAATTTTAATACTCGTATTACTAAACGTAAAGTGGAAACGGCTTGGGTACGTTTAAGCAACTTAAGTGCTTTGATGAGTTACAGATCTTACTTGATTATCGCTGCAGAGCGCCCACTAAACTATTTGCAGCACTTTATTTTCGCTTAAAAAAAAAATATGACATTTAATAGAAATGACAGCTGTCAATTTTATAATTTCCTTATTTCTAAATTTTTTAAAAAGGCAAACAGAATGAAGAATCATAATGGTAAGCAATAAAAAGTACTTATGTTTTATAATAATACAAATTATAATTTAAATAGACTAGTGTTTTTTAAATTTAGAGTCTTATATAAGCATATATGACATTCAAATGTCAAAGTGAAACCGCTGCTAAATGAAAGATATACTTTTTTTTTACTTCAAAATTTTTAAATCACTTAAATTAAGCGATGAAAATAATAAGTGTTCAGCGAATATTTATTTGAAGCGCCATAATAATTTTTACAGATGGCTAAACGCACCCATTAATAATGTCTTAGCCGTTCAGAATAATATTCTCGTCCGCATAATCCGTAAGTTCTGCGTCTCACATAATATGTTTTGAACGTTCATTCAAAATTGTATGAATAATAGAAAAAAAAAAATGTTTGTATTTGGGGATTTTTTTATGTATACTATTAAAAGCGAAAATACAGCGAAAAAATAAGAAAAATCACAAAAACAAAAAAAAAAATAATAATAAAATTATAATCTTTCGTTTTAATAAATTGCAATAATTTTTGCACTCAGTTCTTATTGTTGAAAAGACACTATTTGGATTCAATCCAACAAAAAACAAAAATGATATTTTATTATAAATTTTATTTATTTGTCTCTTTCATTTTTTTTTATTACAGAAAAAAATAAATAAAATTTTGTATTTCTAGCCCTCATATTATAACACATAATATAGAAGACATATTTTAAATATTTTCATAAGATGCATATTTATTGTCATAAAGCATTATTACTTAAATGAATAATAATGTAAGTATGCCTATACACTATAATGCAATTGCATTTAATAGTACAATTTAAATATACGCGCCTACAAATAATTTTTATTTAAGAGTGCGATTATTGTACAGTGTCATAGTATTGGCAACCAACAATATGATATAGATGAATTGGAACAAGAATTAAATGTGCTTTAAATATGGTAGATATAAGATAAATGGTAGATATAAGTAATTTGTAATATGAGTTCATTAACATTAAAATGTTATACTGGTACTGTATTTACAATCAAAGTTTTGATACTATTTGTGGCCGAGTTTAAACAATACTGTTGAATAAAAAGTGCTAAAATTTTAAAAATTAAAAAACAAAATTTTATTTAAGCGTGATGGAACTAGATTTACTAAATAAATAAGGTCAATTTTTTCAAATTCTCATATACTTGCTCGTACGGCAGAGCTTTTACATTCTTTTACATTCCGTACTTTAACGTTTCGTACTGCATAAGCAAAAGTTTTTCGTGACTGGAGGAGACCAAGGATTTTTTGGGAGATTGTGACCAGAAGTGCTTTGAGAAGATAAAGGGGATTGGACAAGAATTTGAGAATTCTCACTGGGGAATTGCTTACTAAATAAATAAGGTAAAATTTTTCAAATTCTCATATACTTGCTCGTATGGCAGAGCTTTTACATTATTTTACATTCCGTTCAGTAACGTTTCGTACTGCATAAAACATGTAAATTTTCAAATAAACTTTGATACATTTCCAGCTACAAATAAATAAAAGGTGATTGTTTGGACCGTAAAGAAGTACGTTTAATTTAATATCATTAAAAATTGTAGGTTTAACGTAAAAACTATTTTTGTTTCATAAAGACAGGTTATATATCAGGCTATAATAAAATCTTCTTCTTCTGCTGCATATCCACTGCTGGATGTAAGCGTGTACCTTTGATGAGTTAGCGAATGCTGGCAACAATATTAGCGTACGACTCACGATTTGATGCTATATGAACTAAATTTCCAATTGTTCTTATATTTGTCCAGTTTCTAATATTTCGTAACCAGGACATTTGCTTTCTTCCCACTCCTCGTTTGCCTTCAATTCTTCCTTGGATAATTAATTGCAGAATTTCGTATTTCTGGCCCCTAATTACATGACCAAAATATGCGGCTTTTTGTTTTTTGATTGTCAGCAGTAGTTCTCTTTGTTTCCTTAGTCTGTTCAATACTTCAGAATTTGAGACTCTTTCTGTCCACGATATTTTTAGCATGCGCCAGTATACCCACATTTCAAATGCTTCAATTTTGTTCATGCTTGATACTTTCAGAGTCCATGTTTCAGCACCGTACATGAGAACTGACCATATGTAGCATCTCATAAAACGCAATCTCAGTTCGATATTAATACTTCGATTGGTCAATACTTTTTGATAATTCAAAAAGGCGCCCCTCGCCATTTTTTATACGACGTTTTATTTCTTTTTCAGAATCCCAGCCTTCGTGTAACATCGATCCGAGATATATGAAGTTGTTTACACGTTCTATGGGTTCATTGTCGATGTAGATGGAAGCGTTCGTATATGGTATGTTGTGTTTAGTTACAATAATAAAATAAGTAATGAAATAATAAATATTTTCAATAGATGGCGTTAAGAGTTTTCTAATACAAATTGACTTTCAAATTATTTTGTTGCTCAAATTTGTAAATAAGCTACATTTTATAATCGTTAGGGAGAATAAACATTCAAATTTTGTATAAATTGTGGACGCCAACCTTTATAAAATTTTTTTAAAATAAAAATTTCTTATATAGACCTTATTGATTGAACCTGTACATTTTGTTATATAAAGAAGAGATCATAATATTGTTATGTGTATATGATGTCAAAATTATTATTGCATAGGAATTATATAGTTATAGTCAGTATATACCCACATATTAAAAAATTTTTATCTTTACGTTACATTAAACATACTTTTCACTATATACTTATGTACTTTGTAATAATTTAATTTGAAATTTTGTTGTAAGGAAATAGTACAAAACATTGTTTTACATATTTTTGTAATAACAAAAAAAAAAAAAAATTATAAAATTAAAAATTTTCAACTTGAATTTTTATCATATTATTCAAAATATTTTTATTTGTTAAATAAAAAGAATTTTGAATGCAGTTAATATGCAAAAAAGAAAAAAAAAATTAAAAAGACATACACGCCAATATAATTTAGAATTACTTATTTTTTTTTTATTATATAAAAAAAAATATATTTTCATTATTAAAAATAATGATATTTTGTTTCATTAGATGAAATATTTTGTACCGGTGACATATTTTTTTTTTCTTTCTTTCAGAAATTTTCAGAAATTTCATTTTAAAATATAAAATGTAGCTGTAATGCAGGCACATCTAATAACATCTTAATAATATTTTAATTCTTGCGTTTAAAATGAATTAATGTTATTGCTAATATTATTTTGTCTATATTTAATATATTTATGTATAATAAATGTGTATATATTAAAATTATTATATTGGCTCTTTAATGTTCGTACTTTATATTTTGATGTGATGAACAAAAACAAAAATATTTCTAACCTAAATATTAAGAATATTTGGTGATGAATTAGAAAATTTTTATTTGAAAAAAAAAAAAAAATGAAAACAGGAGATGAAACTGGCATACATAATATGTAATAAAAATTTTTTTTTAGATATAGAAAGTTTTGCAAT